GTACAGAACTAGGTCCCTATCACGCACACCCTGCAACCCACCCCTACCATCATCCCCAACACCTGCCACCATCCCCAACACCTATCATCATCCCCAACACCTGCCACCATCACTATACCACCATCCCCAACACCCTGCCACTATCCACGAACCCATCCTGTTGGCGGTAGGCCTAGGATGTCGTTCTCGACTCACAAATGGAGAATCCCGGATTCAATTCCCGGAAAGGATGGAAATGGTTGGGCATATTTCCTTTCACCTAAAGCACTGTTCTCCTAGCAGTAAATAGGTACCCGGGAGTTAGTCAACTATTGTGGGGTTACATCTTTGGGAGGGCCAGAAGTTCGACCTTGAGGGGGGGGGGGGTGAGGCTCGATATATGTCTAACGTATAAGAGCGTATAACGTATACAAAATATTGCCGGAGCAAAAGTGGAAGTCTTCAAGAAAAAAAAACTGGATACTTTTCTGCGAGAAGTGCCGGACCAACTGGGTTGTGATGGGTCTGCGGGCCACTCCAAGCAACAGCCTGTTGGACCAAGTTATCACATGGCAAGGCTGAGACCTCGGGCCGGGCTTGGGAGAGTAGAAGAACTCCCAGAACCCCTTCCCCTCCAGGTATAATCCAGGTATATTGGGATACAAAGGTTACCTATCCCCGATAAAACTAATTATTATTAATGATTAAATTGTATAAGAGGCAATGTGTCAAACTTGCACGCAGTGAGGTCTGATTAAGACCTGCGTTCTGTGCTGTTTTTGTGACTTGCTTATCTAGTTACTGTACTTTAATTATTATAATAATTATAATTACAGTATTATAACTTACAGTATATTAATTACATAAGGGAGTTGTCTCAACTTTCCAATTATAAATAAGCAACCATTTATGAATAAAGCTTGTGATTTGTGCCTTCCTCTCAGCTCTGTGTTCCTGCTGAGCTACAGCTTATGCGGTGAGTATCGGGTGCACAATAAAGTAGTCGCTGTTGGCCTCATCACACAAACTGTTGTGGGTTACATCCTGGGGAAGCTCAGTCGTTCCCCGCAATGAGAAACCAAATAAATTAGTTACTGTAAAACTATAAAAACGATGCAAGGGACGTTGATCAGTTTTCTATAATTCCTACTTACAGAAAATGAGAAGTTGTTAGTATAACTCTTGAGGACCAGAGGAATTTATTGAGGGGCCGCTAACATTAGTGGCTTCGACGAGGACAGGAAGCCGGCGGCTTGTTAAAGGTCCTACACATTTGCCTTGATGATTTTTTCCAGTTGTACTTTAAAAGTTAAAAGAGTTTTGTCGTTTACGGCTTCGGCGGGTAGGCGATTTCGTGAGTTTATAACTCTGTGGGTGAAAAAGCATCTACTGTTCTCAGTCTTACACTGTGGCTTGTTGAGCTTGAAACAGTTGCTCCCTGTTTGTGTTACATCACTGGGTTACTCCCAAGCCCCATTCCTTACTTCTGGACCACGACTCGACATAAGTTATACTATGTCATTTATATAACCAAACCAAATTTACTTAATTAAGCTATAACGGTGTCAAGTGAGCCTATAATTTAGCTTAATTTACCTAAGGGCCACCATTAGTGATCAGAAAATCCACTAGATTTAACCCTTAGGGTTATAAACCCATGGAATTTCCAACCAGCCGAAGCCGTACGTGCCAATACATTAATTACCGCATTTCAAAATCCAATTGAAAAAAAAAACTCAGGAACAATGGGGAAGGGGGAGAATTTTTGACAAGCCGCCTTTTTTCCTGTTCTCATCGAGGCCACAAGAGAGAAGGTGACCTTCAGGTAAATTCGGGTAAACATTTTCTCTCAGGATTTTCTCCTTGAGCTTGCAGATATGTGGGGTTAGACTGATCGGTCAGTAGTTTTCTGAACTCTTTCTGCGTGGTTTAGAAGATATTGGGAGTGGTGACATTTGCATAGTTCCCATTTAGGGGACTCTAACTTGGGCCAGAGATTTTCTAAACAGAAGTTTCAGTGGTAGACATAGTTCACACGCTATAGTTCTTGTATGATTTTGGATAAAATTCCATCCACACCTAATATATAATTTTCTTACAGAGTCTTTTATCTTAGGGTTTTACTTTTTTATATACGCATAAAAAATTGGGATCTTTCTAGATGTTCTGTGAACTAGTTTTCTTTTATAGCTTCATTTTTGTGATTTTATTGTTTGACAGCTTTTCAATTCGTTATGGAGTGAGTTCCATAGAACAGGTCCCTTTATTTGCATAGAGTGTTTACACAGATTAAGTTTGACTCTGGGGATATCAAAGATATAGTTATTTCTGGTGTGGTGATTATTTGTTCTATTACATCTGTCCAAGAAGAGTTTTAGAACAGGATTTGCACTTAAGAACAGAGTTTTGTAAATGTAATTGGCACAAGTAAATGTGTGGAGTGCGCGGTTATCTTAGCGTGTTTAGGGATTTAAACAGGAGGGGGGGGGGGGGCTGAGTGTTGTCTGAAAGCAGAGTTTGTTCTTGTTCTGATTTTTACTGGGTGGTGATGGGCTTGAGGTAGTTTGCAGACTGTCCCATTCACAGATACCATATGTAAGATGGGGATAGATTAACGCATAGTATAGCGAGAGGAGAGCAGAGTTTGGAACATTATATCTGATTTTACAGAGTATACCAACTGTTTTTCAGACTTTCTTGGTTATGTGTTGTATGTGGGTGCTGAAGTTGAGTCTCTTGTCTAAGTATAGGCCAAGGAACTTTCCATCATTTTTATTGCTGATTTTAACATTGTCTATCTGAAGCTTAATTGCATTTGTTGATTTGCTTTTAAATAAGATGTAGTAGGTATTTTCTATGTTTAGTGTGAGTTTGTTGGTTGACATCCATAAGTGAACTTTTTTTTAGTTCATTGTTTACAACATTATTTTTTATTGAGTGTGGGTTGGGGTCTGAGTAGATGAGGGTAGTATTGTCAGCAAATAATATAGGTGTAAGTATGTTAGAGACATTAGGCAGATCATTGATGTATATAAAAAATAGGAGAAGTCCTAAGATGCTGCCCTGTGGCACCCCTACGATTAATGGTAGAGTGGGATAGGTTATATCATTGATGGCTACATATTGGTGTCTCACTAAGATAGAATCGGATATTTATTTATTTATTTATTTATTTTATTTATTTATATATATACAAGAAGGTACATTGGGTTTGTGAGAATACATTGGATAGTACAGTATTTACATTCTTGTAAAGCCACTAGTACGCGCAGCGTTTCGGGCAGGTCCTTAATCTAGCAGATAATTTTAAGTAGGTAATTTCAATCAGAATTGATAAATGATAAAGATACATTACAAGAGAAAAATGAGATGAGAGAGATAAGTAAGTATATTAAAGCACATTGTTATATTAAAGCTCTGATTGATTACATTGACAGCTTGATTAGTAATTTAAACAAGATTTATAAACACCATACAACAGATTGGCAGCACATATAAGAAAACAGCAATGATCACAATGGTAAAGATGTTCAAATTGGGAACATAAAGGTTGGGAGATTGAGTAGCAATTGATACAGTGCAATTTTAAGGCAAAAAGTGAAAAACTATGAAGATGAAATTAGGTACTTTTTAGTATTGATTTTGAAAGATGTAAAAGTTGGACAGCTTTTCAATTCAGTAGGGAGTGAGTTCCATAAACTGGGTCCCTTTATTTGCATAGAGTGTTTACACAGATTAAGTTTAACTCTGGGGATATCAAAGAGATATAGTTCAGGGCATTCCATGGCCTTGGATTCCATAATGGTGGAGTTTAAGTAAGAGGTAGTTATGGTTAACAGTATCAAATGCCTTTCTCAGGTCAATGAAGAGTCCAATTGGAAACTCATTTTTGTCAAGGGCTGAGTAAATTAAGTCAAGCAGACTAATAATTGCATCATTATTACTCTTTTGGGAGCGGAAGCCAAACTGACAGGGACTTAGTATGTTGAATTTCAGGAGATAAGAGTAGAGCTGTTTGTAAAGTATATGCAACGATGCAGTATACATAATACTTCTACGTCTTGTCGACGAAGGAAGTTGTTAACATTTTTGGTGTTACGCATTATATATAATTTTGGTTGTGATAACATTGAGAGGTGTAAACGTAGAACAAAACACACACATGTGAGTTATCTTCCGGGGAATGGAACTATCAGGGGGAAAGCGCCAAGCCATTCCGACTATATACTACTGGGAAGGGGTCAGGATAAGGATATGGGATGAGAAGGTGGGAAGGAATGGTGCCCAACGAACTGGAAGGTTGGGAATTGAACGCCGACCTGCATGAAGCGAGACCGTCGCTGTACCGTCTAGCCCAAGTGGTTGGACGTATCTTCCGGGATGTCCTGCTGTTGTGGCGTGGGAACCTGCCGTTACTTGACCCTCTCTGCCTGTGTACGTGTCCTCCGCCTGGTATAACATTAGTATAACCACTCACTATAACACCGACCTCTGACATATCTAATTGCCACAAATGTAGTAACACCGTAGGATTTAAATGATGACAAAATTTCATTTGCTTGCTTGTCTGCTAATAGGCAAATTTAGACCAGAATATTTTTTTTCACATATGTTATGTGGTTTTCTGAGGTTTAAGCTAACCAAGATATATTTCCTGAGGGCTTAAAATGTCACTATTATAAAAATAAAATTTGCGTATAATTTAATTAGGCATAATAGTTATTTTGTACTAACTTTGACTATACCATAACACCAATTACACGAAAATTTATATATGGCAAAGTGAAAAATTTCGAAAGTTATCGTTGGCAACGCTGGTGACGTGTGCCTCCCTCAGGGATGTGCGGTACGATTTTTCTCCGTCATCTTCATTGGCTCCGCCCACTGTACTGTTGTTGCACTAAATTAACGACTTTAAACACAAATTAATTTGTTTAAAAAAATATAAATGCAATAAATAAAATTATTTAAAACGTAACTAGTAAACAATAAGCCGGCGGAGGTCAAATTTGAGTGGATATGCTGACCGGCAGCGGATCGTGTGGCAGGGCGGTGGGGAATGTAAACAGTGTGGCTCAGTCGAGGAGTGGCTGGCCTGGTGATGACCCCTGTGTGTGACCCCTAGTGTGTCGAGCCCTGTGTGACCCCCGTCCTGACATGACCACCTGACCCTACATCCCCACCAGGGCAGTGGACGTTGCGTTAGAATCAGTGGCTTCTCAGACACACCAGTGTGCGTGATAATGTTTTGATGTGTGGCTACTGTGACGAGACGTCGCGAGCACTGATCTCTCCCCCACCACTTAGTGGTCATCTGGCACGGTCACTGACACGGTGGCTGGTGACACGTTGGCACGGTGGTTAGAGACACAGTGGCAGGTATCATGGTGGCTGGTGACACAGTGGTGGGGCTACCGAGGCAGTGCTGGGTCTGCTGACCACTTGTTGAAGAGGTGGAGTGTTGCCACCCCCCCCCCACATCAAGACCTGACGAAGACAGTGTTGGTATGAGTCATGTTTTCAGTGTGCTAAGATGTTGCAGGGTGTTGGCGGCGGGAACACTGACATTTGTCATGCACCTGTACTCTTACACTGACACTTGTGAACCAGTACGGATACACTGAAACTTGTTGCATACAAGTACTTCTACATTGACACTTGTTGCATACACGTACTTAAACATTGACACCTGTTGCATACAAGTACTGCTACACTGACACTTGATTCAAACAAGTTCTGCTACACTGACACTTGATACATACAAGTACTTCTACATTGACACCTGTTGCATACAAGTACTGCTACTCTGACAATTGTTGTGTACGTCTTGCTACACTGACATGTGCAGTGTATCTTTTCCAATCCTCCACTTTGAGTGACCATAATAATCTTCTGAACATTCTTTCCATCCAAATTGTTGACATTTTACATACTTATAGATGGTAACTTGCCATTAGCTCATTCAGTTCACATCCGATTAGTCTGGGTTCAATTCCTTGGCAGGGGAATGTTTATGCTCGTCCTTGTACCCAATTCTTCTGTTCACCCAGCAATAAATAGATACATGGGGGTTTAGTTGACTGTTGCATGTTATGTGGAAGATCAGTTGAGTAGATTGGATAGGTGTACGCAAAAAAGGCTTCTTGTCCTCAGTAGTGGGAAGCCATTTGTAATGAATCTTGCAGTTGTTTTATGCATAAAATAAATAAATAAATAAATAATAAATAAATAAATATATATATAATATATATATATATATATATATATATATATATATATATATATATATATATATATATATATATATATATATATATATATATATATATATATATATATATATATATGAATGACAGTGTCAAACCATGAAGGAAGAATTAAAACAGGAATTTCCTTAAGTACTTTCGTATTTAATAATACATCTTCAGAAGGATGGAGTTACAAGTTTGTAGATTGGACATATATAGGCAGGAGAGAGGGGGAAAGTGAGGTACAATGACAAAAATATGAATGGGATTGGGTGGATATAAATAGGATTTGTTTTTGTTATCCACTGAGTTTTTTTGAAGTTTGCCATAGAGAGAGAGTGTGTGAGAGTGTGAGAGAGAGAGAGAGTGAGATCAGTATGAATAACGGGTAAGGTGGGGTGTTGGATTTTCGGTTTTCTGTCAAACAGAATGCAAAGAGTAACAGTCAAATAAAATAAAGTCCAAATGCAATGAAAAGCTCTGTACCTCAGGGCATAGTCCTTGCACTACTGCTTTTTCAGTCTTATATCAGATATAGACAAAAATACTAGTCACAGCTTCATATCATCCTTTGCAGACGATACACAAATCAGTGTGAAAATTTCCTCTGTATAAGGTACTGAAAACCTACAACCTGATATTAATAAAGTCTTTGATTGGGAAACAGAAAATAACATGTTTAATAGTGATAGTCCCAAGTACAGTACAGTACTTACTGTACTTAGTTTTGGTGGAAATGTGGAACTTAACCCCTACAGTGTACACCTGTTTTTGGCAAAAACTTCATAGTGCAATTGTTAAGAACATATCTTTGTTGTTTTTATAAATGTTCAGGTAAAGTTAATGTCAAAATGTTTCCAAACTCAACCATTTTAATTTCAAAACACAAAGACAGATGAAAACATTAAAAAAAAAAAATGAAAATAGAGCCTAATTAAAAAAAAAAACACAACTCTCAGAACAAGTTTTCTTAGTTGGCACAGCACAGTGGTTAAACAAAATACAGGGTACAAGACACAATCAGGCTACTCAAAGAAGGAAAAGAACATGTAAAAGTTGTGAACATAACTAAGCAAATATAGCATCAGCCAAGTAAATGATAGAATGAAATCAGAGAACATTCAAATCCAGGATCCAATGGCAATTCTAATACTGTACTATTTAAATCACTGGTGCTCTCCCGTCTTAAATACTGTTCGGTACTTGCTTCCCCTTTCAGAGCAACAGAGATTTCTGAAATAGAGGGAATTCAGAGAACATACATGGTACACCTAGATATGATAAAACACCCAAATTATTGGGACCATGTCAAAGCTCTTAACATGTATTCTCTAGAAAAGAGAATAGAGAGATATCAAATAATATATATATTTGAAGATACTGGATGGCCAGATCTCAAATTTGCACAGTAGAATAACAACATACAGCAGTGAAAGATATTGACAAAATGTTGAATAGAATCAATGATAAGTAGAGGTGTCATAGGCATAATCAGAGAGCATTCTGAACATCAGAGGTACACGGCTTTTCGATACTCTCCTAGCAAGCATTAGAAATACTATATAGTACAGTATTTTTGGAACAAAGGTGGACTTCTTCAAGAAACAATTAGAGAAGTTTTTGTAAGAAGTGTCAGACCAACCAGGTTATGGTGGTCACGTGAGCCTGAAGGCCACTCCTAGCAACAGCCTGTTGAAACAAGTTATCACAAATCGAGGCCGGGCTTGGGGATTAGAAGAACTCCCAGAACCCTCTCCAGATCCAAAGCATACACTTGTCACATTCTCAGGCTTCTTCATCCTCCCACATAATTATGTCACCAGTGACAGGATCTCAACAACTAGTCTAGTCATTTCATTCATCTTATAATTTTTTCAGTAACTTTAAAATATGAGTACTGTATGTTATATGAAGCTGTTTAGCAATTGAAAAATGCTATTATTGTATCTGTGGGTCACATTTGTCACTTACAGAAAATTCATATGATTTCATTTCACAACATTTATCTGTTGCTTCACAGTATTCATTTGTCACGTCACATCATTCATATGTTGCTTCACTTCACAACATTCACCTTATGTCTCGCTTCACGACACTCGTCTGTCGCCTCACCTTACAGTGTTTATATGTTTCCTCATTTCAGAATATTCATATATCCTTTCCTATCATTCATCTGGCACCACATAGCATTCATCTGGTACCTCATAGCATTCATCTGTCACCTCATAGCATTCATCTGTCACCTCATAGCATTCATCTGACACCTCATTGCATTCATCTGGCACCTCATAACAGTCACCTGGCACCTCATAGCTAGCATGCATCCGTTCCCTCATAGCATTTATGTCACCTCATCTCGCAGCATTCTTCTGTCAGCTCATATCTCAACATTCTTCTGTCACCTTATCTCACACGTAGGATTCATCTGTTAGCTCATCTCATTGCATTCTTCCGTCACCTCATCTCACAGCATTCATCTGTTACCTCATTGCATAGTATTCTTCTCTTTTCTCATTCATATACAGTATCATCTCCCAAAATTCATATATTGCCCCACACAATTAATAACCACCACACTTCATTCATCTGTTGCCTTACATTATTCATCTATTACATCACCTCACAACATTTATCTAGCCACTCACAATATTCATGTCTCCTCACCTCACAGCATTCATCAGTTATCATAAAACATTTATAATATACCTTAGATGTTGGACCCTTCATTATGCCTACCATAGATAAGGTACAAGCCTTATATACTGTGTAGCCCAATGGAAGTGGTGTAGCCCAATACTTCATAGGCCTAGAATGTTTATTATTTTAAGAATAAAGTTTTTGTTAGTAACTTGGCAGGATCACAAATTATCATGAAAGTGACCAAAACTGTAAATTTCTAAATTAGGATGTACAATACTAATGTATAGCTCAGAATAAGAATGACATTCTGCTGCCAAAACAAGAAATATCTCTAATGCAGCCTAATATTATATTGGTATTCACGGAGACAATCATGGCAATGTGTGAATGACAGGGGTAGCTGCCCCAGACCCTTGGGTTGCCGGGGCTACTATCTGGTGGTGAGAGGGGGGGTGGGAGGAGGTGGAGCTAAGTAGCTGTTGGGCCTAATTAATGAGCATGTACATAATTTGAATTAGTGTTACAAATGTTGTCTAAGCACCTGCTTATTAGGTGTGGTCTACCTTTCTGGTGGGCTTCTCTTCAGTAATGTGGTTGATCTAGTATGGTATCCTTGCTTCCCTGTGTGTCTATTGAAGAGGTCCAGATTCTGGGGAATTCCAGGTTCCAGATTCTAAATGGTAGGCATTCATGATTTGCTAGAGCCTGGTGTGGTACCTGAGTTTCGAGGCCTCCAGTTGGGTCGCTCAGGGAGATATGTACAGAAAGGACCCCACAAAAAAGCATACATTCAATACAATATTTCTCCATCCAAATATTTAATGTGATTCTGAAATTTACTAGCATAGCACAGGCTCTTCTCTCAACACCTTTGATGTGATCCTCTGGTGGCAGTTTACTCTCTAGAACTACAGTACCTCTAGATCTCTCTGCCAGAGTTCTTTAATATTTTTTACATAATTTATAGGTTGAGTGTGACCTGCTTTTCCCAATTCCACTTTCAATTTATTTATCTTGAGTTTCATTTGCCATGTGTTGGTCCACTCACTTATTTTGTTTGTCATTTTGAAGGGCATGGCATTCATATAAGCATTTTACTTTCCCTAGTAAATTAGTATTGTATGCAAACATATTCATGTAGCTCTGAATCCTTTCTGGTAAAGTGTTTGTATAGACAGTGAACATTACTGGTGCAATACCTTGTGGTATTCAGCTTGTGATATTTCTCCAGTCTAATCACTGGAGAAATGTCTGATTTCTCAGCTCTGATCACTGCTCTCATTTGTCGGTTAGAAATATTTTCATCCAAGTCAGTAGTCTGCTTGTCACCCCTCCAGCTGTGTGAGTGTGTGTGTGTGTGTTAAAGGCTCCAAACATCTGGTTGAGGGAGACTAGTGTATGGGGATGGAAGCCAATGTACAGAACACTGTAATCTGATAATGTGGAAATCTTTCTAACTGGGTAAAGTACATAGATAGGACTTGTGGAGTTATCTCAAACTAATGATAACTTTAAGAGGTGTGTTTTGATTTTAATGAATTAAATAACCTTAATTTATCATAGGATGCATGGTAATACAATGCCTATTGTATAAATTTGTGTTAGGGTATAGGCCTAAATGCTTGTATAATTTTTAATTTAGCTTTCAAGTGTTACTTTTGAATTTTCTAAATTTTTAACTATACGGTATTGTGCATTTCCGTTTACGTAAATACAGTATTATACAATACTTTTTAAAGATACCATATTGTCAGTTAATATTTGCATTTCATTGAGCTCTGAGCAATGTCTGAAGACATGTTCTGCTAAATATAATGCTAGTAGACTTGTCACTGCTTTTATTTTGAAAATTATACATTTAACCCCTGCACTGCGCAAAGCGCCTTTAGGCGCTCTGAGAGTTATGCTATTTTTTTTTTAATTAGGCTATATTTTAATGTTTTTTAATGTTTCCATTACTCTTTGTGTTTTTAAATGAAAATAGTTGAGTTTGGAAACATTTTGACATTAAATTTACCTGAATATTTATAAAAATAACATGAATATGTCCTTGACAATTGCCCCAAGAAGTTCTTGCCGAAACCAGGTGCGCAGTGCAGGGGTTAAGGACTTAGACAAGCCTTTGAACCCTGAAGTACCTGATGCTACTTTAATTTAATTCCAGTAGAGTACTGTGCAATGTTCTTTAAGGCTCTTAAGATTAACTTTCAGTATAAACATTCTGTTTCCTCTGAAATAAGACACTAGGTATTAAGAAATATAGGTTAGATCTGTAGTGCTTAAGAAAAGTATACAATAAAAAAGTTTTACAGTTGAGTATAAAGGGTTTTGTTAATATTGATTGGCAGTAACTGATATAAAACTGATGTCTCAACACTGCCAAGTGTTGAGACATGCTAGGCATTGAGTCACATACATTAGTGCATAAGAGGATTACTTTAGCTTAGACTTTGGCAGGGTATTTATGAAGAATTTAATTAGTGGAAGAACATGATGGTAAATATTGTCTTTACTGTATTGATGTGATTGTGAGGTTTGTGATTAGTATGGTTATTAGGACTTTACAGTTTCCTATATAAACTTGAAAGACTCACAAGTTACTGTACATTAGTGTACTGACATATGTATGTCTTTGTTCCAGGTGGTGGTGTGTGTGTTCCGTGATTAGTGTAGAAAGAATATTCAAGGTAAGCAATGTTCTAACCCCTGAAGTACCTAGATATTTATTGTGTAATATATTGTGTTTTTTTAAATGTGGTAAGATACTGTATTCTCACTGTTTCCCCCCCCTCTGTAGTGTGAAACAATGGCAGCTGTTAGTCTTGAAATTTGGTTACTTCTTCTTTGAATAGACTCACTGTAAGAAGCAGTGATCCACGATAAATAGATGAGACATGAGGAGAGTATATTTCTTCAGTATAGAAATGCTTTCTCTTGACACCATAGAGTTAGCGGAAAATTACATGAATGAAAGTTAGTGTTATGTATACTGCAACCTCATTTGTTTAGTAACAAATGTGCAACTAGATATCTTTGACTAATTCTTCTGCCCATCCTCTTGTACTGGTCAGTACAGTGATGGTCCTATTTTGTGCAGTGTCAGCACTTGATTCCCATTGTTCCAAGTTGTTACGCACCGCTCTTTAGCTCTGTCCTCGTATTCCAGCCTGTAGTCTGTCCTCATAGCCCCACCCAAGTGTTATACTGTATAGTAATTCTGGATTAGAGCTTGCTCCTGATAATTACCTTCCCTCTCCCCTATTCTGAGGTGAAGCTAAAATATTTTTGTGACATGGTGTAATATTCAGAGAAGCATCTGGATAATATTGTCATCACTACATCCAACTTTTAAGTTGTAATTGAGGACATTTGGTTATCTTAATACTGTACTGTACTTAGTTTTAGTGGCTTTATATAAATTATCATGAATATATAAATTATCATGAATGCTCCACTGTATCAAGTTTCAAATGTACTTTATATAAATTACTATACAGGTAATTTCAGAGGGCCTGAAAGACCTTCCTTAGCCAGAGGGTCTTTCAAGCCCTCTGGATAAGGAGTGTGGGAACTTGGTGACAATGATTGAATCAGATTTTAGAAAATGATCTTGGAGATAATGCTCTGGTGTCTGGACTTGCCTGTCACTCAGTGGTCTGGTGTTTGGGCTTGCCTGTCACTCAGTGGTCTGGTGTCTGGGCTTGCCTCTCACTCAGTGGTCTGGTGTCTGGGCTTGCCTGTCACTCAGTAGTCTGGTCTCTGGGCTTGCCTGCCACTCAGTGGTCTGGTGTCTGGGCTTCCCTGATAATCATAATGGTCTGTCTTCACACTTCTAAGAGATTATGGGCAAGTCGTGATTCAAATAGACTGGGACTTGGTTTGGTGCCTGGTCTTCCCTGACAATCATAAATATATCCTTGACACTCCTAATGCTCTGTTATTCCCTGACCACTAAATGGACTTCCTTGACAGACATAATGCCCTTTGTTGATTCAAATGGTTTGATGCTGTCTGGTTTATCCCTGATAATCATGATGGTCTGGTGCCTGGGCTTCTTAGACATAATGGTCTGGTGAATAGTCTTTCCTGATACTCATTTAAAAGCACTTCCAGGACAACAAAGACTCTGGGGATTGGGGACTCCTAACTTCTGAGATTGACAATAGTGTACCAATTTTCCAAAGAATTCATGCAGCCAAGCTGAATCCAAGGCTAACTCAAAAGCATGATCAAGAATTGAACACACAGCAAGAATTGAAACAAGTCTTGCAGAGCTTGCATGAAATTCCAGAGTGGAGGAAAATTTACACCCTGAGGAGGGGACAAGTAAACATTCTAATTACAGAAGTTTAGAATGATGATCCAGGGGAACTATCATGAACTTTATGGGTGCTTTTACACCATGGGTTCTTTGTGGGGTTCCTCTATGATACAGTTGAATACCCAGGCTCTTGAGTGCTCATAATGCCCCTAGAGCATGCCCTGGTCCTCAAGGTGCATTCAAGGCAGTATTTTCTTATATCTAGGTTTGTGCCTGGGTCTGTCTCTCAATACCCTGTATCCCCAGAGTCTTGCAATGGCTCCCTGTGGTATGATTTCCAGGCCACCTGGGAGGAGGTGGGGAATTTTGGATGTCTCCCAGACATACTGTTTCCATCCACAGATAAGAAGCCATGTCCTCCGGTTGGGGTTCCCAGATGTTTTGGGTTTATTTCCTAAATCTTACTTTGAACCTCCTGGGTGATTGATTCTGTGGGTATCTTTATTATCTCTGTAAGAGAGATGTGGTTCTCTGCTTTGGAGCTTTGGTCCACTGGGGGTCATAAGGGTGCTGTTTCTTCCCAGAGTTACTCCCAAAGTTGTTTACCAGTTTGCTAAATGCCTGCCTCGGTATCAAGGCAGTACTTTTTTACAGTAGGAGGTTGAGGAAGGAATATTCATCAGCTGGAGTTGGTGTGGTTGTTGTGTAAAAGTTGTAAGTTCCCCCCCTTCCCCCTTCCTATCTCCCATCAGATGAATGTTGAGGAAAGAGCGTATCATATTCAATCAAATAAATGCTGTCATTGTGGTCTAAGTTGGTAAAACTTTGTAATGTACTTTGTCACTGACTAATGTTTATGCCAATTATTTTGTTAAAATATATACAGATGTTATACAGGGTATACTTTTTTGTTTTATTGTACCATTAATACAGTAAAGTGTTTCCCCCTTGCAGAGGGATGCAAAACTCCAGCCCAGAATGGCTCGAATCAGCCATGGGGTCTAGTGTTGTAGTGTGGCCCCCATGGCCTAATAAGTGGCTAGAAAGCCACCACATTGACACAATGTCTGTCTTGACCACCGATTACCACCCATGGATCTGCTCAATAATTGCAGCCTTGGCTGTGGGCTTTGCTGGTATTGTGCCTCTCCTCCTCATCCCCACTGATCATGAGTTGAAAACAAAAAATGGTGAGTACACAGATATCTTCTTTTGCCAACATAATTTTATGCAGCATGGTACTCTTCAAATGATGATTATATACAACATGATGCCTCTTATGCATAGGTTGTATACATGCATATACATATATGCATTATTTCAACCACATTTTCCACTTTCATGAGGTGCAAAAGCATCAGCCAGGAGAAAAAAGGTAAGTAATGCACTATGAGAATGCCATGTATATTAAATATTATAGCATTGAAAATATCACTTGTCCATTTATTATATCATTCACAGTAAAATACATATAACATTGTGGATAATCACTATCACACTCCAACAATCATCTGCATCAGCACTTGAATGATTCACAAGACCAGATGTACTGTTCTTTGTGATATTATCATATTATACTGCCTGCGCTCAGTAATTCACATTACATGGTGGCTTGCCCCATTCAAGTTAGCCAGGCATCTGAACTGCCCACATTTTTTTACCAGGAAAGCCCAAAAAGTAGCATGTTCATAATTTTTTGTACCATAGCCAACATAATTCATATTTCCACTTGCAGTAAACATAAATTTACATGGTTAGGGGAGGATCTTCATATACAGTGTATATAGTACTCTAGCAATTTTTGACAATAACAGAAATTTCAACTTAGTCTGTCATCTTGCTTGATGAAAGGCTTCAATATTGTTCATTTACCTAACCTAACAACACTAAAATTATTGTACATGTGCTAGTAGTTATGTACCTCTAGTATTTTTGCTTATGTTTCCTTATATCAGAGCTGGTACTCCTGCCTCTACCAAAATTCTCTGCAACACTCACAGTGGAGTGACCATTTTCACCAAGTTCAATCACTCATAGCTTATCTTTAATGGATAGCATAACTTGATTCCTCTTAACACCTTCATGTTGATTGCTGCTGCTGCTACCAGACATGGTTTTAGCAACAAATTATTCAAGTTTCTATTAAAACAAAAATATGGGAGAAAAAATCTTTCAATAATGGAATGGCACGGTGCAGAATCACTTGAGCCTTTTAGGTGATTCACCTATTCCAGCAATTATACGAAATAGATATCCCATGGAGGGTGTTCCTAGAGCATTTTCACTTGACATTAGAATCTTGTCTACAAGTCAGAGATTGTTCCCTGTTATTGTGGAGCCATTTGGATAGGTTCTCATGGAAGGAAGGAAACTATCAGGGGGATAGCACCAAGCCATTATGACTATATAGCACTGGGAAGGGGTCAGGACAAGGATTTGGGATGGAACGAGGGGAAAGGAATGGTGCCTAACCACTTGGACAGTCGGGGATTGAACGCCGACTTGCATGAAGCGAGACCGTCGCTGTACCGTCCAGCCCAAGTGGTTGGACAGGTTCTCATGGAAAACCTTGCAGATAATAATGAATTACTGTGGTGCATTGGTCACCAGTTGGTTAACAATTGAAAGGTCCCATGTCAGGTTCTGTACAAAACTGAAACATATGATCATGCTTCCTTACAGCTGATTATTTACCCAGCAGTTAATAGATACCCTGGGAGATAGGCAACTGTTATTAGTTGCATTTTGGAAAAAGTCAGTGGTTAACCTAGGGATGGACCTTGATAAGCTTAACAGGCTTCCTATCCCTGTCAATTGGAAACCAGACTAACCAATTCTGAAATGTTATGGTATACCATTATCAGGGACAGAGACCCAATTAGGTGCCATAACCATGGTTGAGGCTTTGTGCAATTGGCAATCCAGTACCAGCCTTAGAGTAACTGGCCAAGTGATGCACATTGGTTCACTGTGCCACACACCATTGGCTGTTTTTGTAGGAGCATTTGAGTTAATAAACATTTTATAATGGAATGAGTAGCATATCCTATTATGAAGCATGAACTGTGACGACACGACCCAGATTTTATAATTAACAAAGCTCATAAGCTATGTGTAAGAGACAATGAATGAAAGGAAAACATTTTAAATGCTAGTTGCATACTGTATTTGATGTGTTAGCTATTTTATTGAGATGTAAGTAAACCTAAAATATGTAGGTTACATGATATGTATAATGGTAGGATTATGATATATACCTTACCTTACCTTGAGGTGCTTCCGGGGCTTAGTGTCCCCATGGCCCGGTCGTCGACCAGGCCTCCTTGGTCTGGTCGACCTTAAAAATACATTTACATTCAAGAGAGTGTATATTATGAAAATGAAAAGATTGGCTGTTAAATAGTTTCCCTGTTGCTGTGTGAATAAATACTCAGTGAGGCTTAGATAAAAAGATAGTGCTAGTTGAGTAGGATCTAGGCTTGGGTTCAAGTATAGATTCAGGCTTTAACTATGGTCTCGTGCTTGGGTTTTACCGAGGCTTGGGCTTAGCTCAGACTTAGGCCCACATTCAGATTCAGACTACAGAATTGGTAAATCAATGTTCAGTCATTGTCTTTAATACTTGGTAAGACTGACAAATTGTTCTCGTTACTGTGGTACCAAGAGACAGGGATCATGTGATAAAGATGAGATCGAGTGTTTGTTATCTCTCTCTCTCTCGCTTCAACAAAAACTTATCAGTCATTAACATGACAAACCAGTTCAGTAGTTGCTTCAGATGAGATCCTTATCATACTATTACTGTACTGCTTCTACTGATCTCTCTATATTATAAGCAGAATTATTTTATTAAAAGAATAACACTAAGCTAAGAATGAAAATTAATAGAATACTGTACTGTACAGGCACTTTGATTAGTAAAAATGTGTTTACTGAAATAATCCACCAACATGGTGGTAGTAAAGTTTCTTTGTGTGCACGAGGATTGGATGTTGGTGACAACAGCTTGGTTGTACATATCTAAACCTCGTTGTGTACTGGTTCGGTTCCTTCTCTTCACTATTCCCCCTTCGTGACCAGATGTTCTTATGAATTTACAGTTCTGCACAGTACCGTTTTATCCCTGAATGGGAAAGTATACTCATTAACTCCATGCTGTTAGTGTGTAGCATAGAGGTAATCTATGCTATGGTGTGCAAGGGTGATTATCTGAATAGACCAAGGTTTCAAGAAGTGAGTTTGATTTTGCGCTTTACTGTATAGGTGGCAATTGAATATTGTGTGTGTATCTTAATGATTAGGTTTTTAAGAGACTTATTATCTGCTAGTTATGCTACTTATTTTGCTTAAGTGGAATGAACATTACAGTCGGGTTTATTCTCAATTCACACTCGAGAATTTTGTGTTCAAATCCCGAGTGGGACAGAAATGGCTGGGTACATTTCTTATCTAATACCTAGCAGTTCACTTAGCAGTAAATAGGTACCCAGGAGTTAGTCAGCATATTGTGGGGCCGTATCCTGGGGAGGGTCAGTAATTCAGCTTTCGAGGGAACCTCAAAATAAGCCTTGTGTAATTATACACTGTCTGCCTGTCCCCTGACACAATTAATTTTATTTTATTTTATTTAGAATTGTAGCATAAATTGAAAGAAGAATTTATAAAATGCCATTTCAGTAAATTCTGTACATTAAATAAAATACCTATTAAAATATTAACAAAAAATTTGTATGTTGGCACCAGTGCTTAGCTAGTTGTAGTAATTATACTGTACTGGCTATTGTATATGTGTTCTACTAGTACTGTATAAACAAGTATAAAGTACTATACACATCTACATTGTGCTGTAATGTAATGTGAGGTCACCTGGTGTTGGAGTCATCTGAGATCTTTGTGACTAATAGAATATTAGGTTACTTGCTCACATTGAGTTACTACAGTATTCCTTTATGTACAAACATTTGTAAAGATCTGCTTATTAAAGCATAGGAGCTTTGTATTCCTTATAAGTATTTTTCAGTATATTTTTGGGTGTACTGGACTGTATTTAGGTGATGTATGAATTGATGTGTGGGAAGTGAAAATGAGATTGAGGCCTTATAACGAGATCTCATGAACTCCACAAATGGTCAAAAGACTGGCAAATGATTTTTAATATAAAAAATAAAGACCATGCGTGAGGGACATAATAATCTACATCACGACTACCAAATTAATGATGTTACCTTACAGCAGACTGACGAAGAGAAGAACCTTCGAGTCAGAATCCATCATTCATTGAAAGTCTGTATAAATCTCAGGTGTAATCACTTGGATTACTGTATTCAATCATGGAAACATCATCTTCAGAAAGACCGGGCAACACAAATCAGTCCAGAAGCAGTCTCCGTGGTGTAGTGGTAAGACACTCGCCTGGCGTTCCGCGAGCGCTATGTCATGGGTTCGTATCCTGGCCGGGGAGGATTTACTGGGCGCAATTCCTTAACTGTAGCCTCTGTTTAACGCAACAGTAAAATGTGTACAGTACTTGGATGAAAAAACGATTCTTCGCGGCAGGGGATCGTATTCCAGGGACCTGCCCGAATCGCTACGCGTACTAGTGGCTGTACAAGAATGTAACAACTTGTATATATCTCAAAAAAAAAAAAAAAAAAAAAAAAAAGTATATCAACTCTCATGCAGGAACAGTTGAGGGTCACAGGGCTAACAACACTGCAAACCAGACATGACAGGGCAGATCTCATCAAGACTTCTAAAATATTGAATACTGTAATTTGGAAGATGTTGATCCAGACAATTTCTTCAAAAGGTCAGGTGTAGCACAAACGAGGAGCAACGGTTTCAAGCTCAAGATGCCACAACATAGGACGGAAAACAGAAGATGCTTTTTCACGCACAGGGTTATAAACTCGTGGAACTGCCTACCTGCCAAAGCCGTAAATGTTAAAACATTATTGAATTTTAAAATCCAACTTGGAAAAATCATCACGACAAATAGGGGGGAGGGGAGACCCTTTCCTGACCTCTCAGAGGTCAGTGACTTTAGGTAGGCTTAATGGCCTTCAGGTAAATTCAGGTAAAGTGAGTAATATTCCTGAGAGACTATTCAATTTCGAGTTGAGAGAGAAAGACCAAAAGAGGCAGTGGTGTAGTGGTTCAGGTCAAAGTCTATGTGCAAACAAATTAATGC